TCGCATGCGTTTGTTGCCCCCAATGGGCGTCATGGCGACATGTGTTTGTCGTCCTTTTTTCGCCCTATCGCTACTAGTGGCGATGCCCTATCGCTGACTAGTAGCAAACCCTTCGTCGAAACTCCTCGGAACCTTCTTCGGTGTCCCCGGACGGTCTCCGTCGCCGCCGGAGCCGCCGCAGCTCAGGACTCGGCTGCAGCTCCGCGAGCTGAACGAAGGGCTGCAGCTGGCAGTCATCGGAGCGGACGACGCGGGGTACGTGGCGGAGCGGCTGGTGCCGGAGATGCTGGAGCCACGGGAGACATAATGGGGATGGGTCAAAAGCTGAAGCCCTGGTCCACCATGCAAGACACCACCCGGTGGGTATCCTGGTGCCATGACCCGCAGCCACATGCTCAAACAGGAAGAGTTTGGGACAAGATGGGAAACGCCGATGAACTAATTGCACCAGAATTGATCAAAGTGGGGGAGGAGCTCCCAATCTTTTTCATGCACAGTGAAGTGGTGTGGAGAGGCTGTGAATCCTGGAGTGTGGGGACTTGCGCCGAATGACTTGGAGCATCCAATTTCTCCCAAGTCATGCATATTTTTTTCCTGGGACGTGGGACGGTGGGTTCAGACTGGGTCGTTCAGACTGGGTCGTTCGTTCGACCTGTGGCAACTTGTTCCCCGCTCGGAGCTATATGATGTCAAATTCGCCTTCCAAGACGATGACACGAAAGATTGACCTGCTTTGTGTATATATATATATATATACCTGGAGCCTTTTTGTGACCCTTGTTTTGGAGGATCAGCTATCCAAAATGGTGTTTTCCTATCAAAACAGAGGTCAGTCAGGCTCTAGGTATATATAATGCAAAACCCTCAGTCAAACAGTGACAAAGATTGTTAAAGGAATATGACAGTAAATCAATGCTGGGCCGAGGCCTAGGGTGATGGGCGATGATTCTTCAGATCGTTTTTGGCAGGACCTCTTGGACATCGAGTTGGGCGGAAGTAGTGCGCTGAAGACCAAGGCGCTCCACCTGGGTTTCCTGCAACTTGGCCGCGTGGCCCAGTCTCTCTGGGCTGGGACGGGTGAAGACGATGAAACGGGCTGGGACGGGTGAAGACCAGTTCCATCACCAAGACCAAGGACCAAGGAGAGAACTTTGTGAGATTGCAAGACCATCTTCAAAAGGGTTGACCTGGTGTTGTAGTGTAAACTCCTTTGTATTCCGCCCCTTTCTACAATGTGATGATTGGAATACCAGGGAACTGATTGTAGACAGCATCTCATGAAGACAAGAAGTCACGCACCTGAAGACAAGAAGCCGTGGTCATGTTCATTTCCTGAAGATTTGAACATGAACATATTGGAAATCTAGATCATGAACATGAACATAAATATGAATATGCTCAACACATTTGACCAAATCCCGAGATTTGACAACATATTGGACCCCGCCACACACAGGGTGTTCATATGAACACAATGTCCATGGTGAAGATGATTTGTGTCTGTGAGCTTTCGCGCTCTGTAGGCTGGCCCTGGAGTCGGAGGATGAGGACTTGGCCAAGAACATGGCACAGAAGGAGACTGCTTTGGACTCGCTTCTGATCTTGATCATCCAAACCAGATAATTTCATGATATATTCCAAGGTGTTATGTTGTATATGCCTGGGGTGATACGACAGGTTCCGTTCCTTCCGTTCTTCCGAAAAGAAACCACAAGCAAACAAGCGTGCATCAGCCTCGCCTCGCATCGGACATCGTTGATTTGGCCATGGTTGAACATGTTTGGAGTTTGGACCCCCAAATCCCATCGTTTCTGAGAACGCAGGCCTATGAACATGCTTCTGTGGCATACGGCCCCAATTCAGATGCTCGGTTTTCGCCGACGTTTCGCGCGCGGAAGTGGTCAAGCTATGTGTCCCTTGGACCTTCCATGTGTCCCGGCGTGGCGGCGTGTACTTGTAGGTTCGTGACTCGCGCAAGATGTAAGGACCGCGCCAAGATGCTACAAGCTTGTGCTGAAGGCCAGAAGCAGAGAGTTGATCTATATAATCAGATCTTACAGCAAAGGATGGTGTCAGTGTTTTTGTTTCCATATGCTTCGATTCACTGAAACAAACAACTCTAAGTGCCTGAAAAACACGTCCTTTCTTGGTTCATGTGAACACACCGATTTGGTTTGGTGGAGGGATGCTCTTTTGAGTTCAAGCACTCCCAATCTTTGCCCCACAAGATGTTGAGCATGTTGGGCAAACAATATTTTCCAGGCGACTATGAAAGCGAAGAGTTCGAGGACATGCTCTTGGAGATGCAAAGTGAAGCCTTTGCCTCATGACATCAACTGGAAAACGCCGCGTCACGAGCTACCCTGAGCTCCCTGCAGAGCTACTATGCACTCCGGCCAGCGATGGAGCTCGCTCCCCGCGCGGGACCAGCTCCCCGAGCTCGGCCCTCCAAGCGGCTGTGGAGCGGAACACCGTGGGGTCTGGGACACCGAGCTCGGCTTCGCGCGGTCTGAAGCATGTCGAAGCTCAGCTCGGATGGTGCGGCCGAGCCGAGCAGCTGAGCAAAAGAACTTGCTTGGTGGAGCTGAGCTCAAAAGATGCATGACGATGCGAAAACAATGCTACATCCACTGCAACGTAGTTGCCTTTGCAGGTCATGACGTTTGGGAAGATGAAAGGTAGGCAGACTGCTCTGTGATTCGCGATTTCCTGGGTTGGAGCACTTGCTTGGCAGGGAATGCTTTTGGTTAGCAGGTTTTTCAGCACTTGCTCCGCAGTGTTCCTCTCAAAGAAAGTCAAGAATTTGAACTCGCAAATGTTGCAGCAACATGGGTCCCTACCCTGTCAGCGGGCAACCCTTAAACTTTAACCTTCTTTGGGAATTGGTTTCTCCACTAAAAAAGAACAGCTAGGTGGAAAAAGAATGAAAAAGGGTCACCTCTATTTTCCAGGAATTGACGGGGTCAGTTCGAGTCAGAGTTTTTCTCCCAGACATTGGCTGTGTAGGCTCCTTTTGACCGCAAAGTTCATGCGATGTAGCTGGGCGCGGTATTGAATGCCTCTGCAGGGGGCACTGGCCTGCCATGCAGCGATTGACCCGGGACCGACCTGCAGAATGGTCAAAGACGGTGTCATTGAGCAGTTGCAGGGTCGGACAGCATGCTGTTGTCTTCCAAGCTGCCTCTAAAGTTCTAAAGATGTTCAATAATGTATAGTTTGTTCAGTACTATCCGCTTCCTACCAGAATGGTCTTACGTCTTCATACGTAGACGGTTTGATTCATTAACCGTCTACATACATCACCGGGCATGGTTTTCAATCGTTTTTCGTTGCGCACCTTCCGCGCTTCCTTTCTTTTGGACCTGCCGTCAGGAATGGTCCTTTGGCAGTGAAAGCCACCGTGAACGCCACATTCCCCTGCCGATCCTCACACGGAATGACCGGGAGGACGCTTAAGAACCGGTCGCAGAGCTTCCAGCGACTGGTGAGTGGAGGGGTTGAAAGGCGACGCATTGAGTAACCGTCCCATTGAGATGAGGTTTTGGGCGGTTTTGGGGCTTTGTTGCCGGTGAAGATGAAAGAGCAGACTATATAGTCAGTTTATGCATCTTTAGTCTGATATGTGCGATGTTGTTTGGGAAAGGATGTGACGTTAGTGGCTTTGACCCAGCCACGGATCAGTCGACAGCGGATCAGTGTTTGACCCAGCCGTTCCATGCGACTGGTGGCAAACCTAGACGCGGCAGCGCCGGACGTCTCTCGTTGGCCCACGTTGATGCATGGTCGGAGATTTCCCACGTAGAAAAGGGCCACTCTTCGTCGACAGGCTTTGCTACACTCTCCAAATCAAGTTCACATCATGGGTTATTGCGTCTGCTACTATTGCCTTTACCACATCATTGGATCACTTAAACTATAGATGTGGGGAAACATGTGGTTCAACTCCCCACGCTTGCCCCATTTGATCCGATTCCGACATCTCTCTCTTTTTTTGGTGCAGGACTTGGCCAAAACGTATCCCAACAACAAGGTCATCACTTCAAAGTACACAGTCTTGACCTTTGTTCCAGCCTCGGTTGCCATAGCTCGTGGGAAAAACCCGTCTCGACCCGTCTCGACTGCAGAGACCGCCGAGACCGTGTTTCTCGGCGTCTCAGACCAGGTGCCGAAGAACGTGTGGGAGCAGTTTCACAAGGCAGCGAATAGCTACTTCTTGTTGATCTCATTCATCATGTTCATTGGTGACTTGGCAAATCTGGTGATGGCATGCGGGTCACAAAAACACTTTTTGATCATGGCATGCGGCCTCTACCGCGAGCCCTTTTTCCACACGTTTCTTTCCCCCCACGCACCACCCCACAAAAGAGCAGCCAGTAACCTCAGTGTCCGCACCTTGCAGAACCGACGACTTGGCTCTGAGGGAACTACACCCCTTTGTTTCATGGCTTCATCCAATTCTACTCCACCTTCCTAGCGCTTCTCATCATGATGACCGCTTCAGCCGTGATCGCCGCCCTGGACGATCTGCGCCGGCACGATGCGGACGTGAAGACCAACGGGCAGATCGCACATCGGGTGACGGGCGACGGTGATGGCAGGTGTAGCTCTGAGGATGTGAGGCTGGGGTGCATCTGGGGGTATCGGGCTGAAGGAGAAGAGCAAACAGCATGTGTGGGGGGCCAATCCCTGGACCCGCAGAAGTCAGTCCAAGGCATGATGGGGAGTTTGACCTTGATCAGTATTCTTGATGGAAGAAATCCCGCACCAGCAGATAAGGAACATGATGGGTCTGAAGACCGTGTTTTTGGCAGGTTCTTCAGATCTGGTTGGTGCAGTGTCTGTCTTCCAAACAGCGGATCTTCAGATCTGTCACACGTCTTCGTCTCTTGGGGTTGGAGACTTTGATCCGGGTTGGAGACATCGCACCACCCTACGACGCACAAAAAACCACGCAGGTGGGCGGATGTGGTGGTGGGTGACATCCTCATCATCGAAGGCGAATGCGAGTTCCTGGGGCAAGCTTCAGAAGAGATTGAGTATTTCAGACTCCAAATCCAGGGAGCAGACTACAAAAGAAGTCGTTCGTGAATCGATCTCTAAAACGGAGAAAAAGCGGAGCAAACGGAACAAATCTCAATGGATCTCATGCCCCGGGTCGGAGCAAAGCATAATATGTCCATAGATGTTCCAAGGTTTCCAGCCGACTTGGTGCCATTGGCTTCCTCGAGTCAAGCGGGAGGATGCTACGTGGATACAGCCAATCTGGATGGGGAAAGCAATCTGAAGCTGAAGGAGAAGAACGCGGTTTGATCTGCTCGAAAACGGGTGACAGTGATACGATACTTTTGTTTGCTTTTGGTGTTTATTTTTTTTGGTAGTAGAGGTAGTCCAGGACGAACGTGCGTAGTACGGGTCCAAAAGTCATGCGCCTGGGACTCTCCTCTAGAGGTAGTACATCTTCCTTCGATCGAGTGCTAGTTACGCCGAGACGTCTCGTAGTGTTGGGTCGTGGTGTTGGTCGGGGCCGATCGGTCGTGATGCCGATCCGATCGATGCGTTGGCCGATCCATTCAGCAATTGGGGATTGTTCGTTCGCCACCCACAATTCCATCAATCGAAGAAACAAAGACACCCATATTGGATGTTCACGGGCTGTGGACCCATTTCTCCGCCAGGAAGACCATGGAAGACCCATTTTCTTCCATCAGCAGGTGGCTCACTTGACTCCCAAACTTCCAACACTCCCTGGGTCTCGTTGCCTCTGAGTGACTCCATACTGGGATGGGTCCAAATTGCACTGGTTCACCGTGTAGCAGCACGACCTTCCACCACAACAGCGGTCTGGTCGTGCCCGTGTAGGTCTCCTGGTGCGACACACGACCCGCCACGTCTGACGCAGCAGAGGAGTCGGTGAAATGCACTCAGCAGCAGCTACGCTATGCCACCACCGATCAGCCTTTGTTGGACCAGGCCGTGGCCAATCTGAGCACCCTGAAGGGCCATGTGGCAGCGGAGGCGCCGCAGAAGTCCATCCACAGCTTCAAGGGACGCATCGAGCTGGACAGCGGCACGCAGGACGCAGACGCCCAAACGCAGCGCCCGTGCCGCGCCACGTCGAGCAACCTCCGCAGTCGTTTCACGCGTGCGTCTCACACGCGTGTCACGGGTGGCGATGAAGGCGACGAGAACGGGTCCCGTGGTGATGGTCCAATGGCGGTGGTTTCTTTCGGTTGTTTTGAATGTGGGTCGGTCGGTGAAAGAATGTGAACAAAACTGTGAGACATTTTGTTGGTCGGTTAAACAACAGCCACGTTCCGTTGTCATGTCTATTGTTTGAACTGTCTTCGGGGGGGCGCTTAATTCTGCGTTTCCCTTTTGGAAGAATGAAGTGTGTGGTGGTTTAATTCCGGTCGGAAAACTGTCCGTGGCATGAGAGGTTTGGTGCTTTCGGATTGGAATTGAAGAGCAACTCCTTAGGATGTCTACCCTAGGAGTCCAGTCGACCAATTTAAAAACACGGCCTGACTAGGTTCTAGGGCCATCTAGGGCCTAGGGTCTAGCCAAGCCGTTGAAAGTCAGATAGGAAGAACACCTCGCCGGCCAGGAAGCCTTGGATGCCAAGCATTTGCTGCTTCGCGGCACCGTCTTGAAGAACACCTCGTGGGTCTTGGGCTTGGTGGTCTATACGGGTCCGGAGTCTCGCATGGTCATGAACTCGAGAGAAGCGAAAGCCAAGTACCCCAACATCGAAAAAGTCATCAACCGCTCCATGCTGGTGGTGGTGGGTGCTCAATGCCTCATGGCGCTCATCAGCGATATTCTCTACCTGGTGACGAAGCAACAATTCTTGAGCTTGTGGTACTTGTTCCCTGCAGGGGAGGTCCAGTCCATCTTGCTGCCCGAATTTATTGGCTATTGGCTGACCTTCTTTGTGTCTCTTGGCCGGGATGTGCGTGATTCCGCAATGCTCGTTCCGCCATGCGCGTTTGCGAGTCTGAGTGTGCAGATTTGGTAGATTCGATTGATAAGTACATTTCGAGCTGCACAGTTGTGCATTCGGTCCACCGTTGGTCCACCCAAGGCTCTATTCCAACCTGATGCCCATCTCTTTGTATTTCACCATGGAGGCAAGGAACCGGACGCACAGGAACCAAGGGCTTGATAAAGAGGCACGATGCGAAACCCGTTTTGGAGTGAAACCCGCGGGAGCGACCGTCAGGTATGCAATGCTGCGCAGGCCGCGCCTGAGTCGGAACATGTTCTTGTTCCCCACGTCGAAGTCCGACTCCACGTCGAAGTCTGCGAGAAACCTCGGGTTGAGGCATACTTCATCAAGAATGATTTGCAGATGTACGATGAGGCGAAACCGACGATGTCGCATGAGGGCCGCAGGAGGTCGAGCTATACCGAGCTATCCAACAAGGTCAGAGATTCCGAGTCTATGACCTAGCATTGACCTACCGGTCAATGGCATAGACTTGGTATATAGGTAAAGGTATATACCGGGCTGAAAACTAACTATGGACCCTGAACGCCACTGGTTTGTAGAGGAAAACAGTTTTGTTGGGGTGCCATTCTCACGGTCCATGTGAGTTTTTGGGAGTGTATATTACGGTAAATGTCATGTTTCAAGACCTACCGAATCCCTCCCGGCTTGGATGGGACAGGTTCAGGATACTCCTGCCAACGCTCGAACCACGCAGCTTGGATCGAAGAAGAATACGCCGTGCAGCACAGTTCGACCACATGTTCTTGTTGCACTCGTTCGGTGTTGGCTCGTTTAGTGCCAGGAAAAAACACCTGTGCCATGGACCGTGAATCTTGTAAGGCTATTTACTGTAATCATTCTCATTTAGCACCCCGTGGTTTTCAGGGTCCGTGTCAATCTGCGACAGGGTATTCCTTTTCTTTTTCTTCTTGATCCGAGGAATCTGTGTCATGAGCTTGGGCAAGTCTCCTACGTTTTCTCAGACAAGACTGGAACGTGACGCTGGCCAAGTTTGGTGTCTCCTTGTCTTTCCTTTGCATGGAGAACAAGTTTGGCCTTTGTGATCACCACTTGACAGATTGACGCAGAACGTCATGGAGCTCAAACGTATCTCCATTGGAGGCAGGTCCTTTCTTTGTTCACACATGCACAGATGCTGAAGTCAAGTGCGATCGCCAATATCCTCCGAGGCTCCAAGTAAGGTAAATTTTAATCCACCATGTTCTTGTTGTGTTCAAGTTCCCTCATGAGTTCAGCGTTTCCAGGTGAGATCTATGGTGAGACGGGAGAGGCAGAGGGATGGGGACAGCGGTTTCGATCGATGCTGTCTGTGGTCGATGTATGCGAGGGGGACACCCACGAGGCCTTCAGATTGAATGTGCCGTAACCAACAAGAAGCTACTAGTAGCTCCTGGCATTACTACTAGGAACAAGAACGCTACTAGGTTGGAGGCCATCGCTACTAGGGTGGAGGCCATTCCTACTAGGAACAAGAAGCTACTAGTAACAAGTGCACTACTAGTATGCCTCCCTCTCTGCCGCTGGTGACCGCCGGCCCCCCCATCCGCCAGTCAAACTACTCGGCCCTCCCCTAGGGGATTTTCCTAAGGAGGATTACCGCTCACATTCTCTCACTATCACATTCGTTGCCATCAAACGGGAAATCGGACGACCTCGGGACATGACAGGAACTTGGTGACTTATTGGTGCGAGGTGGTGGATTGGGTTTGCCACAGATGTTGCCCATGTCGTCGGATGGATGGTGCATAGTGGTGATCCGGATGCTTGGTGATGCCGAGCACCCTCCGCAGGAGTCTGGCTTTCAGGGCAGGGCAGCCATGCTAAATGCCAGGCCACAATGCTTATCTTGATATAGCAAACTCTTATGTCATTGAGACTAAGACTTCAAAGTTTCAGTGTTTGAATGTGTTTGATGTTGCGGGAGGTTGAAGAATCCTTCACAAGCAGCTGCCATCGATGCAGTCTTAGAGGCCGAACTTCACTTCGCTGTACCAGGTCGGTCGGGGGGAGTCGCGAGTCAGGTGCTGGCCGTCTCCCACACAGTGGTCTCCACCAAAGACCGCAGTGGGAGAATGAAATACGAGGCTGGCCAGGAACCTGGCAGCTTTCACCTCCTTTTTGTCTTTATCCTTCATTTTTTTCATATTGCTTCACTCTTCAGAGAGCCCTTTGAACTTTGGACCAACTCAGTAGCCTGGCACCTTGCAGTTCCAATGTATGAAAGACGTTGCTGGTCGCCTTTCGACTGTACCACACCGAATGGAGGCCGAAAGCCCGGATGAAGGTGCCTTGGTTGAGGCGCATTTCTTTGGATGTCATTCATTCTCCCAGGCCTAGTCAACTACTGTAGTTCTTGGAAACTGTGGTGTGTAGTATTGTGTAGTTCAAGTTTGAAAACACAGACCGGAGGTGTTTCCCTTAACTGGACCTGGCTCTCTCCTTTTTACCCCGAAGTTCGGAAGTGTAAACCGCTTCACCCACAAGATAGGACCTTTGGATTCCTCCCACCGAAAGATGTTTGTAGGCAGGCGGATGTTCATGGATCTTCAGCATTCATCACTGATGAGTCTCTCTTAAAAGACTCGACCGACATATAGGGTCCAGCTCTACCTCTCCAGGCCAGTGATCTCCTCCTTTTTCGTAAAAACCACGCTGGACCTGGACCGACCTGGACCGACCAGTCGCAGTGCTCCGCTTCTCGGATCGATCCCCGGTCGAGGCGGTGGGAAGGCTGGGCTGGGTCTTCACCGGGCGTACCAACGAGGGCCTCACGGTGGAGGCGCACCCACGCGGCGCGGAGGGTTCCGGGGCGGGGCGGGGTGTACGTTCAATGGTTCAGGCTCTTAGGTTTGCGTGCAAGGTGCAAGGAGGTGATTCTTCCGAACTTCCAAGCAAGATCTGACTATCGGCCTAGAGCACCTTATTGTGAGTATAGGGTAGATCTGTGATCAGTGGTCCTATGTATCTCTTGGTGCTTGTTATCTCGGCCAGCTACCCTCATGGGCCAGATGGGAAAAGCCTTTGAACGGATGTTCAATGTGGTCCATATTCTATGTCATCATGCAGGGACTGAAGCTATTTATCTCTGGGCACTGACAGATGGCAGAAGAATGAGTCATACATCTCAAAGTTTCTCAATTTTGAGGTCAATATCGGCGAGACTACCGGCAGCCAAACCTACGAGCTGCTAGATGCTTGACGGCATGGCATGTCACATGGAGTGGGAGTGATTTCATGGGAAGCCATGAGCGCCAAACACGTGCGACTTCAATCTGTATTTTGTTCGTGTTCTTGCTAATATTTGAATATATTAGAACAGTGCGTGATAGCAACCATCTCTTGAACCGTTTTTTACATTTTGCTAGGGTTCTAAACCTTCGTGGGATTCCCGAAGGCACCTTCCCTTTCAAAAGAAAAGGGGACGCTGTGGGGGTGCGCTTTTTTCTATGTTTTACACACAAAATCAGCCAAAAGAGTATGTGATCAAAAGACATCTGCTTTCTCACACACACACTTGTTAAGTGGCACAATCTGCTGGGAAGGTATCAAGAATTTAGAAACAACCACAAAAAATCAAACAAAAAACAAAGAATCTAAAATTCCAACAAATCCAAAAATCCAAAAAATCCAAGAAATCCAAAACATCCAAAAATCCAAAAAAACACACATCCATTCCTGAGCCAAACATAGGTCTGTTTTTTTTGGATTTTTGGATTTTTTGGAATTTTTGGATTTTTCGGATTTTTGGATTTTTTGGATTTCTTGGATTTTTGGCAATGCCTCCATCAATCAATCATCACATCTCCACACAAAAGTAAAAATCACGCATGAAATCTCTGCCACACCATCCAATGTCAAAAGTTCAACTGAAAATCAGGCATCATCTTCTTTCCAAATGCCTCTTTGGCTTTGCAAAGAATTCTCTGTGAGAGATTTTGTGATCTCAAGGCAATCTGCTCTGCTAGTTGCGTAGTACTTTGTGTCCGTCAGTAAGAACCCCATAGCTTCGCTATCTGGGGAATATAAAATTGATGATAATGTAATTTTATGATATTTAGAAATTCATGTTCGATAATTGGCGTGGTTGATGTTATTATTGAAAATAGTAATTGCGATATATTTTATATATGTTGGTTCGATATATTTTTATGTAAAATAAAATATGAAGCGATATGTTGTATTATTTGTTTTGATATGGAAGCATAAATAATATAATTACGATTAAATTCGATTTTATCTTAATGTAAAAAATGCAGAAGGGGGGGTGAGGGGGGGGGAGAGTATGCATATTCTAGAAATGCGCGTTTTTTGCACTCTCTACTTCAAAGCCTTCTATCTGCTGCTGAAATGCTGAAAATTACAATATAAACAAGCAATCTCTCTTGCATTGATAGGCTTGTGAAAGTTGTTCTTTTGTAAGCATTGATAGGCTTGTGAAAGTTGTTCTTTTGTAAGGTTTTGTTCTTTATGGTGAATGATATCTTTTTAATAGGGTTGTGAAATTTGTAAATTTCCTGCTCTATGTGCAATTGGTAAACATATTTATTCATTCAATTATGAATTATAGAAATGATTACATCCATAAGCTAGGTGTTTACCAAATAGTCCCCATGCAAAATCATATTTCTTTCTTTTAGAGTGGGAATTGTATTGCTCTTATTAAATGCAGTTGGGTAAATACATCAGAATTAGAAGGCAAATAGTTATAAATCCTAAATAACTAAATTCTATTTTAATTCTTATTCAGTTCAAATTCAAATCTATATGTAAATTCAGGATCAATTCTAGTTTAATTATATTTCAATTCTATTTGCTTCAACTTTCCTTCACTGGGATCAATGCAAGCCAAATTATAATTCGATTTTACCTTTAATTTCATTATTATATAGTTCGGATTCAATTCTAATATTTCATTCGTTTTGAATTAAAATTTGGATTTTATGAAATTCGCATTTATTTCTAGGGAATTGATCTTGCTTTGAACATAAACGATTTTTATGATTTTTTTCCAATATGGAAGTATATTCTTTCTTTAATGAAATATATTCATACCACCAATAATATTCATTCTCTAGAATGGAAGCAAAACACAAGTAGAATTCCATTTGCATTAAATTGGAATCAAGTTAGAAAATTATATATATAGATCAATTGAATTTAAACTATATAAAGCCGTTAACATTAGAAATCATTAACAAATCAATTGGAAATTGGAATAGACAGAATTACAGGTTTTAATGCAAAACAACATGCAATAGAATTAAATGAAAAATAGATTTGAATTAAATTGGAATTGAATGAATAATACTAAATCAAAATCCATTATTCAAATTGAAATTGACCTAGACCTAAGGTAGAATTGAATTAAAGATATTTAACCTAGGAATTAATTAATAGAACAATATTGCAATATTGTTATAAAATTAGGTTACAAATAATTCGATTTAATGAAAATAAGCTGAAAAAACAATTATAAAACATTATAAAACATGGAAAAAAGCGCACCCCCACAGCGTCCCGCTCTCTTTCAAAAAACCTTTGGGCCAAACCAACTAGCTCCCTTCCACCACGAATCCCAGACAACATCACCGACCCATCCAACCGAGTCTTGAGGCCCTCAACGCCTTTACCTCAGCCAGGCACATCCGCTGTGCGGACATGTCGCAGGTTTTTTGGGGAGGAGGAGCCGCGTCGCGCGTGGATTTGCACATTTTCTGCAATCAGCCCATGGTTCAGCATGCAAAAGTGGAGTGCTTGTTCTTTGCGACCCGCTCCTGCAGTGTTAAATCATGCTGGTGCGGTACTACAGCAAGCGACATGACACGTGCCTGTCTTTTCGTTTCCGGAGCTATTGTTCTTTGTGCTTCTTACAGCAACCCCCTTTTTCTCCCGCCCCGGGCCAACCCCAGAACCTTCCGGTTCCCGACTCGGGCTGGCCGGGCTGACGTTTGTCTTCCAGAGGAAGCGGCAGTCGGTGCTGGTGAGGAGGCCATCTGGAGAGGTGCAGTGTTACTTAGCTGTCTGGCGGGGACAAGAGAGACATGGAATCTGAGTCGTTTTTCTGTTTTGGGGGCAGTTCATGTTTTCCAGGAGGGAGTTTCGTTTCTTCTGTTCTGTTTGATGTGATTGATGGGAAGATCTGAGTGGAAGATCTGAGTGGAGGTGGTTTTGCTGGTCAAGGGAGCTGATGATGTGATGCAGAAGCTTGCAGCGGATCCTCAAAGCTTCCCAGAGGACGCATTTCCTGCGGATTTTCCTCCTGCTGAATGGTCGCAAGATGTCACGAGCAAAACCCATGAAAACATGTGGCGCCACGTCACGGTGTGTGTCTTGGACAAGGGGAATGTTCGCCACTGACGGGTCCATTTTCCTCCTTCCAAGGGGATTGTCTTTTTGGGGATCTTTGTATTGATGAAATACATCAAGAAGCTACTAGTAACTAGTAACAAGAAGCTACTAGGGGCTCCTGGCATCGCTACTAGGAGCAAGAAGCTACTAGTAGCTAGTTACACCCATGTTCTCTTGTCAACACTTTCTTGACGATCCTTCACGAACGTCTCCAAGCAGGAGCATCTGAGAGCCTTCGCGAAGCAAGGCCTGAGGACTTTGGTCATGGGGAGGCCGGGCCCCTGAAACGATGAGAGTCGTCACACGAAAAGACAGACCCCCTTTTGGACCCCTGAGAAGTGATGTGGGATTTTGGTGGTTTTTCCTCCACAAGCCCAGTGGTTTTCGGGGATCCAATATGGTCCTTTCCAGGGGGGGCTATGATCCTTTGTTGGGGTGAACCTTCCGTTCTGACTGGCTCCACACTCCGGACCGGTCGTGCTGTCCCACTGCAGTGGTGTGGGTTTCTCCGGTGCCAGTTGCCGAGGCGATGGATCTCGGAGGCGGAGCTACGGCAATGGCATCAAGAATACACCAAAGCGCAGACTTCCATGCAGGAGCGATTCGGTGATCTCCAGTGACTCCTTTTTGGCGTTTTCTTCTCGATTTTTTTGTTAGTTCTTTGAAAAGGTATCCTTTTTGGATTTTTGTTGGCCTTTAATTCGGAGCCCTGTGCTTCTCTTCTCATCAAAGGATAGGTCTATTGCACCACCGCTTAAAAAGTGGCTCCTCGAAGCAAGGAAAGATTGATCTTGTATCTGGCTTGTCCAAGGATGTGGGTGTGGTATGGTGTGGTGGGGGTCTTGGGTTGGGCACTGTCTAGCACAGGACAGAGAAGGTGCCCTGGCGCAAGTTGCTGACCAGATCGAAAGGCGGGACAGCATGGGGGAGTGGTTCGCGCAAACCGATCCAAGCTGGTTCGCGCGACGGAGGACTCGGGCGGAGGACTCGGGGGTCGCAGGGTTGCATGGGCTGGACTCGGCATGGATCTGGATGCGATGGCAAGGTCTTTGGAGACCTTGGGCATCACCGGCATCGAAGACAAGCTTCAGGCCGACCGCTGAAAGCAGACCCGCCTACCCAAGACCCAAAGAAGGGCTCTTCTATAGCCGTGCTATAGTGGTCGCCATGAAACCTGGCTAGAAGATGGGTTTGAAGGCTGTTTTGAGGAGGGGATTCACTTTCGGTCTATCTGATAGGTCCAAGATTCGCGTTTTTGCGCCTGAATGTGCCCGCAGGTTGGAGTGGAGGATGCCATCGTGAAGATCCGGCAGGCCGGAGATGCTCTTGAAAAAGCTCTTTCGGGGTTGAAGAGGCTTTGAAATGTTGGTTTGACAATGTTTGACAATGTTTGACATGATGTTGTTCGCGGCAGTTTCCATTTTCTTGGTGCGCAGGGGCCAAGCATGGCCAAACCCGTAGATCTAGATCTGCATCTCCGAAAGGTGCCCCTAACATTGGACATTCCAGCCGCACCCAAACTCGGTGGGTCTTTCCAGTGGGTCTTTCGACCCAACCCACCACAGGCCGGGATCAAGCTCTGGGTGCTCACTGGCGAAGCTCGGCCGCGCTTGGTAGTGCTTGGTGATGCGGGGGTGGGCGGGGTGGTCTAGGGGTGTGGACGGCTTAAGAGTGCGAAGGGACATGCGGTGAGGGCGTACATTAGGTGGGCCTGAAGTCTTATCTGAGAGGCCTGGGTTATTCTTCACAGATTGATGTTTGATGGTCTCAATATGTCTCAATAGGTTCTGCTAGATTCGGTCACTTGAGAGTAGATTCGAGATGACTAAAGCTGCCATTCATAAAGAAAATAGTTTCTGGATGGTTTTGGATTGATTCATCCTTGAAAGGATCCCTTCACAGACATTCTGAGCTGTTCCCTGTTTTTGCACGAGGATAAGCTGGAGACCGCCAAGAACATTGGCTTCAGCACGCGAGTTCTCAGTGAGATCCTCACAAGATTCACATGAAACTCGTGTCAATGTTAAGATCATGCTATCCACGTCAGCCATGTATTATTCCAGCCTGGTCTGTGTGGCTTGAGTAATTACCATTTCTTCTCTGGATCAAGTGCCTCGCTTACTCACTCAGCTCCTTGGAAAACACATGTTGCTGGTTCCTGTTGAACCTTCGGGGTTTCACAGTTTCACTTGGGGGGGTGTTTTTCGCTATCGTTGATTGCTTACGTTGGGCATGGGCCTTGGGCAGCACGACGGTGGGTGGGCGCGCCGCAGCATGCCGAACGCCGAACGCACGGAGGTTCCAGCATGGAGATTCTGACGTTGGACCTGACCGATCGGAGGGCCTTCAAGGACCGACACGCGGGTCGGGTGGAGGCAGGACCAGCGGTGACCAGCGGAGACCGGCGGTGACACTGGTGGGTGTGACAACATGTTTGTGGTCTTTTTGGATGGTTGCCTGTAATTTGTTTGGATGTTTAGCTTAGCTCCACTGGAATTGCAATGAGGAATGATGTACGCTATGCAGCGCTCTTCATGCAGCGCTCTTCATGCAGCGCTCTTCATGCAGCGCTCTTCATGCAGTTCACACGAGGGGGGTAGAAAAATGCGTGTTCTGGCGGTGTGGATTGTCATTGTGGATGGTTACTTGACCAACTCTCTCATCCTATCTACCATGAGCCCATAGCCTCCCTAGCATAGCTCCCAAGGGCGCTGGAAATCAGGCGCCCTTACTAATCGAGAACATGTTCCCAGAGAGAGTTGGACATGCCTATATATATATATAACAAATGATGAATGCTAAGATGTTCGAAAGGCACCTCAAGCTGCTTGCCTCCTTTCCCGTTCAAGCAGGACCACTTGGAAGCTGTGAAAGCAAGCGCTGAACAGGCCCATGAATCAAGCTTGTTTGACAGCCAGGCTAGCCTGGATTGAGACGCCTCAACCACCGTGTCCCAATCAGATTAGACAAGCTTCCGATGGACGATTGGAGCTTTGGAGCTCTTGACAGGCCTCCAACAATGGGGTCACGGTGGCCTTGATCGTCACGGGCCATGCTTTGGAGGCACGGCTCATGACAGGTCATGGCGGATCACAGGGCGGATCGCAGGCCGCGGATGGTGAACGCGACGACTGGTGGAACCTTTTCCTTTGGGTGGAACACGCGGAGTCCAGCTCACGCGGAGTCCGGTTCGGACAGGGTGGAGGCTTCGGACAGGGTGGCAGGGAGAACCTGCCAGTTTCGGCAGCGTGACAGGAGATCCTGCGAAGGGAGAAGAGCGAAGCCAATGGGAGCGAAAGGCGGATGATGCATTGGATGGATGCATTCACCAATTCACCAGTGACCTTTGCTTTTCTTTAGAGAATAGACATTCCAAAGGATTCCATAGCCTACAAACTGTGTTCAGCTTGTTCTTGTCAGGAGCATGGGCAAGAAGAGTCAACCAAAAGGCAAATACCAAGATCTCTTCTTGGAGGCTGGCCCTCTCAGCAGTCCACGGTCAGGAGTTCCGGTCGACCTTCCGTTTGATTGACCTGGTGGACCTGGTGTCCAACATCCTTAGTAAAAACAGCTCGCTGGTTCGGTTAACAAAAACACTTAAGAACACATTAAATCGGTATGAATCAATGGTGCATACGGAGTCCATCGAATTTTTCCCGTGCCTGAGGTTCTTCTTCGCTCGTGAAAGACCAGTGAGGGGTTAAGATCTATTTCAACTGGTTCAAACAAAGCCAGGAACAAAAATCATTCCTTCTTTGCAGCTAAGGGTTTCCGAACAGACAGAAGTCACAGGAGATGATGTCAAAACGATGAGGATTTGAGATGTTTGCCTTGATTGCACTTCTGAGAAGACAAAGGGCTTCGCCAGCTGGTACTCCTCACCGACACCCATAGGCAACGCAGGCGAGATACCTGTTGCGCACAAAAGATACCCTCGTTTCCCCGGGTTTGTTGACATCCAAGGACGGCCTGCCTTTTTCTTCACCAGTCAGTCTTTTGGGCACCCCAAAAGCCGGCCTTTCTCGCGGACCGCTCCCGCTCCCCCATGTCTCATCGAAGAAGGTCGCGCTGGCTGCGGTGGAGCGACCACCGTGCGCCTCGTGCGCCACGTTCGAGCTCTCGGGCTTCTCGGCTCTTCAGGTGGCCGTCCGATGCTCCGTGGTGATCGCCTGCCGGGTGTCGCCCTTGCAGAAGGCGGAGGTGGTGACGGTGGTGAGGACGGACGGGTCGGGTCGATCTCGTCGGGACGGTTCCCAGTGAAGTGACCATAAATAGGACCCGTCACCAGGAGCCGAACTAGGATAGTCGAACTAGGGTTCTGACCCACCTCTGCTGGGACGGTCAGATCCATCAGCCTCGCTGTGGCGTGAAGCCGTTCGAATTCCCAGGAAGGGCGTGAAGCCGACGCCCGTAACGCTGGCCATCGGCGACGGGGCCAACGACGTGCCCATGCTACAAGAGGCTCAGGCCGGTCGGAGGGTCGGACGGTCGGGGGGTCGAACGGTCGGGGATGGTCGGTGTGTGGAAGTAAGTCACGGCTTCAGTTTGTTTCAGTGAACATTCATCTCCAATCAAAGCAAACTGCTGCGATTTCTACCCGCTAGGCTTTCTTCTTGTCCGTCTGTCAAACCCCAACAAAAACATGAAAAGCAATTTGTTGGGGTCATTCATTGTGATTAAACACGCGACAACCACCCCGTACCCCGTAATTACCCCGCCCTTGACCTCTGCCTCTGTGCCTGGACGTCGTTCGCCGGGTCCCGAGGTGGGCGTTGGCATCTCTGGACGTGAAGGAAGGCCGGAGACGTCGAAGGATGCGGGAGACCGGGAGCCGACCAGCGTCGGGTGCGGAAGTCGATCCGACCTGATGCGACCCGTGTTGTGGCAAAGCGGGTGGGTCTTCTTTCGACGGATGGATGGATGGATGGATCGATGGAGTATCAGAATCAGTACACCGAAGAAAAGATCATGAGAGTGACCCATGAATGAACAATGACCGATGAATCATCCATGAATGACCCATGAATGATGGTTCACGTATGGAATGACGGATAGCTCCCACGCCGATCTTTAAGAAGGCTCAATTTCGAGAAGTCACATGGAAGACACCGACAGGCTTTTCTAACGCACGTGCCTAGCATTTTTGGACAGGAGTGGTCGTGTCTCATCAACTCGATGACTAGTCCTAAGACTGAGAAAGGACGCACAGGCAGCCCTGTCCTTCAAGTCTGGTAATTATGATCTTGGATGTGTTTGTCTCTCAAACCAGTTGGTGTTGTTCTCGTTATATATCCCCTAGAAGTCCAGTTCGACTATATTTTGACCGGCTGAAAGTAAAGGATAGTCCCAGACTCGGGTTCACCGTTCGTCAGACCATTCTTTATATAGTCGACTTGACTCTCAGGGTATCCGTTGGTTCTTTTCGCTTCTGACCAAAGCGACGCGCACAACGTTCTTGTCCACCCACGTCATTCGAGAATTGGTCATGCTGGGCCGTGCTGGGCGGTGCTGCCACGCGTGGTGCTGCCTTCACCACAAACTCGCGGGGCCCAAGAAGGGCCCCAGAACGAAGTCAAACCGAGCAGGAAGAGACTCCCAATCACTGAATTTCAGTAGAGAGTTCCATGCACCAAATATCTAGGATTCAATGATATTCAATGTGCTTTCTTGATCACATCAAACATGGTGAGTCATATGGGGTCATGTGATGTCTGACAACCTATCTTCCCCAAACCGGGTCGACCTGCCGCGCTTGTTCTGCTGCGCGCGCGTGTTTCGCGCAGCAGGCAGGCCGTGAACTGCGCGGACTTCGCCATTTCCCAGTTCCGGTGGCCCTGCGGGTATTCGTCGGTCGCGGCAGGTCGATGGTGGAGGGGTGATCCAAATGGTGGAGGTCGATGATAGAGGGAACGCACGAACGATGGCGTTTAGAGGGAACGCACATGTCGCACATGTCTTTTCTCTAAAGACATGTGTTTGGGGTTCGCAAGGCCCGAGGGTCGCAGCCACCCCACTTGGGAAGAATCGACTCAGTCTCTCACACACAGGCATACAAGATCATACAACTAAGTGGGGAGACATGTAAGGCGATAAGTGGGGAGACAAGGCAGCAGCGGCACAGCAGCGGCGAACCCAGGTACCCGGTCACAGAAGTAAGAACCCCTGTAGCAATCGCTATTTGGGGGAAAGTTATGCTCGTTGACCTGGTCTTACTGCTCAGGGGGATGGTTCGGGTCTGCTTCGTGCACTGAGCAGCGCCCAGGACTCCTATATAACCCTATAGCCTTCCAAGACCGCTATATAAACAAATGGTTGACCTGTTTTTGTCGTGTAAGACTCCTTAGTAAAGCAGCGTAGCAGCGGCTCGGGATTCGAACCGTAAAAGCTGGGTCCAAACCACCCCCGTTAACGGTGGACGCTCAAACCGTGTCAAACGATCCAGGTACTTGGCACGGTTGATGCTGGTGCACGGGCGCTGGAACTATCGACGTGCGTGCAACGGAGTGGCAGAGGTTGAGCGACCGTTGGGGTCTGGGGGTCTTTCAAAAGGATCTTGTGAATCAATCTTGTAAGTCAACCTTACAACCTTACCAAGAAAATTCGAAGCAAGCTATCTAGTGTCTCCAAATGATGCAGTCAAGTTTCTTTCCCTTTGACTAGGGGTATGGAGGAAAAGTAGTGCCAGAACTCGGTGTCTCTCCTATTAGGGCTTTTTGGCTAGTCACAAGCAGCCTCCCCAGTTGTGTCCGCTATCCAACCGCTGGATGCATCCAGCTCAGGTAAGTTCGTGATCTATAGCTTTTGGAAAAACGCTGTGCTCCACAGTTGCAAGTAGTTCTTCTCATCCAACGTGCGACGCACCTAGTGATGTGAGATCTCGTTCATCTGAGGTTGGTTCGCTCCCTAGCCTTCATGGTGGTTTGGTCATGCCGTACTGGATGCATGGTGATGTGTGGCTGAGGTCCTTCTGATGTTCTACTACACCTTTGTATCTGGATATGCAGGCGGGGGCAATGGATGGCGATGCTAGGACGCACTGGCCTGCCACCCTGAAAGCAGATGAGCATTTGATCGTTGGCACCAGGCCAAAGCCTCTTTGAGGATATGGCACCTCGGCAGTTCGTTTCGTCAAGGCATTTGGTCAAATGCCACCGCAGTAGGTTAAAGGTTCACAGTTCCTCTTGGACTTCGTGTTAGCCAATTCTACGAAGCATGCTAAGCTGTTGGTGTGTTGGTGCTGCTGTCCTTTTTGGGCCTGCAAGACTTCACGCTTCACGTCAAGGTCAGAGCATCCTACAACTTTGTGCTGGCAGCACCCATCATTACCACCGGCGTTTTCGATCAGGATCCGAAATGCACCAAAAACACCGAACATGAACTCATCTGGCACTGCAAGGATGAAGTCAAGGTTTCTTTGAACCATTTCTCATGGTGCTCCCATCCCATGAAGTCCTGGGTCCTCACCTCATGACTCGGTGTGACTCGCTTCCTCAAGCACCCCACCATACCCACCACCTGCCCCATAGGTCGATCCTGGTGTTTTGGAGCCCTTGGCGAAAGCCACCAGAGGATGCCCTTTGGCCCCGAAGAACGAACCAACGAAGAGAAGCCTTTTTTGTGCTTGGGGCGCAGCAGAAGCCACCGGGAGGATGTGACGGAAGAGCAAGTCATGGCTGATCCTCGCTTGTATGTGAGTGGGCGAGAAGGCGCGCCAGAACCACATCCGGAAATGATTCTTGATGGCTTTTGCACCACCTGCTTTTGTGTCTTCCACGCAAAGCAGAAAAATATGGGCTTTCTTGATGTCATGTCACGTCCCAGCTTTTCGGATGTAGAACAAGAAACCATCTTAAACCTTGCCGGAGCTCTCTTTTCCGTGAGCCTTTCGATTGAAAGACTCCACGACGTCGTGTCGCTGGGGGGGACGATTGGAGGCTTGGATCTCAACGCGTCGAAATTGGCCAGGGCCTTGGGAGCCGTTCGTTCGAGCCGAATGGGAACGGCGCCATGATCGGCGCTTCAAGGGAACTACTCCATACATCACGTGAAACCAGGAATTCAGGGAATGCAAAGTCGCTTCAACGGCCCACTGGGTGTGATCAAAATGAATCTGAGTCGGCTCCGAGCCAGGACATCATCCGCCAAGAGCCAAACGTGGCAAATTCAAAAGTCTCCAAGCTTTCTATTTCCTCAACGACAAGCCCGGTCAAAAATGAGAATTCCCTGAAAGGCAGAGCAACTGTTGACTACCTTCTATTTTTGAATCAACAGTCTGACAGTCTGAGTCTACATCAGAGTGCCTTTGGGTGCTGTTTGTCTGTGGCTTTTGCCTCAAGTTTCCCAGGATCACTTGCTGATATGATTCCGATTCCACTGTTGATGACTTTGTGATGGACATCCTGCACCAAAGATTGGATCACTGTGTGGGGATACCTCAATCCGCTGGATACAAATCGAGGGGAACTCAGTCCAGAGGTGATTCATAGTATCCATAGTGATCCAGTGATCTATTTGTGAAGGGTATTCTCTTTAATTTGGAAGAACGCTGCAGGGCTTTGGCAACCCACCGGTATGCGGACGTATGTGGTGCCTGTATGCCAATGCGGGTACTTTCAACTGCGCACCGCATGTTGCGCCGCGAGTGGCCCGAGTGGGGTTCAGACGGGGGAAGGCACCTGCCGGGTTCAGCGGGACCCAGCCATCCGTCGTGTTTTCGTGCCAGGTGGAGATGTTGCTCTCTGCGGCGGTACATTCCTGTGTCATTGGCTTTGCCGGCAGACCCAGTAAATCACATCGAATTGTATAGAAAACAGGCTGGCATAGAAGCTGGCACAGGCTGTTTTCGGGGAGTTGAAGGATGTTGAGCTTGGGGGCTTGGGGGAGTGGACAAAAAGCGACAAAGCTGGCTGGGATCAAAGAGGTCCAAGCAGTTGATGGTGCAATAGATAGGATGTTTGAATCTGTTTGATGATTGATGTTCGTGAACCCTGGTGACCAGTGTTAGAGAGAATTGGTCCAAAGACATGAACGTGTTGACGAATCGAACCCTGGGTATAACCCCCTAAGCCTGCAGGCGGATTTTGGACCATCCAGGAAAGCCCGGCTTTCACTGGCAGACGTGCTCGTCGTTCGGCACGCTCGGGCACATCCAATTTTGTCTTTGAGAGGTGATGCTGATGGTGTTCTACGACATGTCCATCCTTCAAACAGGGGATTTTTACACCTTTGGCACTACAGCATCTTGGCAAGTTTGCAAGTTGTTTTTTTTCGATTTTCCTGCCTGCGGTGATGTGAGAAGGCCTATGAAGATCTGAGACTGAGCAGATTCCTTGGACTTCAGGGACATCCAACTTGGAGCTGAACACAGGGACTCCATCGAACACAGTCCGATCAGCCGATCTCTGATCCTCAGGTCTTTACTGTGCTGGTGATTTCCATGAACTACCGGGCAGCCTTCGTCACCAGGACCCGTGACGTGGTCAAAACCGCTTGCACCGGGTAGTCCAAGCGCCGCTCGTGGACGCCGCTCGTGGTACGTAGTACACGGGCGGTGTCACCGGGTTCGGCCGAGTCGATGAGGACGTGGAACTGGGTCACACTCGCTGGACAAGCATGTTCCTTTCTCATTTACCTGCTTCTTGGCAGCAGTTGAACACCCCCCCGAGACATGTTCCGACAAGGAGAACAACTCAAGGAAGACGAAACGCGCAGGACGAGCAGCCCACGACTTCGCCTGAAGTTCGTTGGAGTGCATCGCGCAATGTGTGGCTCAGAGTCCGCCCCAAACAGCATCGAACTGAGGATTTTCCTCTTGGTATATTGCAATATTGAGTGGATGACAGAGCACTTCCAGTTGGACACTGAGCTTTTCCTTCTAATCGTCTTTCTTGAACTCTTCCATGGGGCATGCAGTTTGATGCCAGGGGTGAACCTATTAGCCCATGTGTGCTGCTGCTAGTCGTTGCTGGTAGTGTGATCATCTCAGGCTGGCTCTCCAGGCGGTTCCAGGGCTCTCCAGGTATTTTCTTCTCCCATGAACTGAGGCCCTGGATGTATGGAGCAGCATGGCGGACATGGGGAGAATAGGCTAGGGGTGCCGGTGGCGCTGAGGTGGAGCTTGGTGGTAACGACTTCCAGCAGACGGGCTGAATTCGAGCTCCCTTTCGGATGTCCACTTCAACAGAAGATCAAAGTTATATTAATATACACTTGTTGGGAAGATTCATGTTTGTCGATGAGTTAAAAAACCCAACTATGGAGGCGACGAACCGTTCTGAGACTCTGGTATGGTGAGTTTGATTCATCAACTGTCTACATGATGTTCCACCAGTGGCTGAACTGGGAGAGGCCCCCCCATTGGCCGGAAGTGCCTGAGGTGCCAGGCCGCATGGTGCGCAGCCCTCACCTGTGGACGCTTGGAATTGAAGGGTCAGTTATGACATGTGCTATGGTGACCATGGTGATGGGATACCCTGGGAGTCCAAGACTTCTGAAACATGGTGGGACTATATAGTCTTAGATCAAAATTATATATACTGGAGGCTAAAAGGAGTTGGCTATCCCAGCCGACTGTGTCACCAGACCCGTAAGTCCTAAGTCACTAGACCTCAGTATAGGTGATCCTAAAACATATTTCTTTTACTTTGCCAAATATGGTCTGTGGTCTTCCAGAATTTATGCATGGATACGGGTTAGAACCAGGAGAATCCGGATGGATAGGACGAGAATTCCATCTCATGGTTGCTAGTCGCATGGTGTCCGCCCAAAACAGGATGGTGGGGAATTCATGACATGCCTGTGCATGGTGTTGACCCACCACATTGGCTATCTATCCTCTTTGCCAAGCATCTACAAGTGGAGTCGGTGCAAGGCACACGGGCTTACATGGGCTTGTAGGACCTTATAGGCAAAAGTTCTACTGATTTGCATCTATCTGCCATCCATTTCCTGTGTGTTCTTCCCAATTGATCCTTCAGGACTTCGCGTGAACATTTTCAGGACTTCACATTCCCCTTGTTCCGACCCGATAACCTTGGAGTTCCAAGCGATTTCGCGCCTCTCAAGAAACCCCATTGGCAGTTCCCACAGTCCTGCAGTTGCAGCTCCCTGCCGTTCCCTGCAGCCTCCGCCCTCGGAAACCGGTGACGTTCCTGCCCCGTCCTCCCTCTTCCCTTCTGGTTTCGGCCTGCGGCCGCCCCCAGGATTTGTGCGATCACACTGCCAGCCTTGGCGATGGTGATTGACATCTCAAAGGCCGAGAGAACACCAGGTCGGTCAAGGTCCGATCAAGAGGTCGGTCAAGAGCTAGAAGGGAGCTGAGAGCACGCGCGGTCGGGTTACCGGCACGCGTTTGGATTGTGCCTTTGTTCCAGGCCTTTTGTATTTTAGATGTGTTTAACGCACCGAAAGAAACATGCTTTCAAACATCTTCTCAACATCGTGCCGAAAAGCTCTCTCATATCTCCAAGCTGTTCAGGGCCACCTTAAAAGGTTTCTTGGGGGATTGAAGCCACAATTCGATGGCTGCAGCAGGCCCATTTGCTGAATGAATTCTACCCAGATCGTCAACAGCTCAGGAGGGTCGATGCTTCAGCTCGGTTCCTTTTCGTCATGAAGGACGTAGATGGCTGGAGAACAGCATTGACTTTGACATGGGCTTACCACGGTACATCACTGTACCATACTGGCAGTATCTCACATTGGTGCTTCTATTTTTTTCACGGGTTTAGACCCTTGTGGTGAGCTCTTTTTTGGACAATTCATGACAATTGTAACTTGCTGCTTGGGCTTCGTCGACTTCATGCCCTGGGGTGAGGGAAGGCTTCTTTTTTTGGTCAGATCGCGTGATATCCAGAGTGGCTGGATGAAGCAACTGTTCCCTTTCTTGAGGGATCTTGAGGGTGAGTCTCAATCCTGTCGCAGATGTCGCAGATTTCGTCAGGTGCTGCGTTGGTGGTCGAGCAGTTGATGCTGAAGACCAAGGAGGATGAAGTGGACGTGGAGCAGCCCATTGTCAGGAGATGGAGCACCATGTGCTACACTCCCTGAAAGAACCATGGTGACATGGAGGGAGTTCCCCACCTGTTTTGGTATTTGGGATTGAAACTGGCCATCCGAACGAAAGGCAAAGCGACCCATCCACTGACTTCCATTCTTCTTCGTCCCTGGAAGAGTCGCAGTCATGGAACCTGAGCACCTGGTGGCGAAGCTGGAGGAAGCTCCCAGGTGGGTCCATGCCATCAGGGTTCCATGTGGGTCCCAGGTGTATGTCAAGGAGTGCATCGTGTTGTGGTTTTGTGGCGGACAAGGATGTTTGCATGTGTTTGCAAACCAGTCAAAGTCTTGTTATCACAGAAAACGATTGCCCATTGGGTCATCGAGTCAGTGTTTTGTCGAGAGAGAGAGAGAGAGTGAGAGAGTGAGAGAGAGAGAGAGAGAGTGTGGTGCAGGAACCCAAGAATGAGTGCAGAGCAGAGTCATGTGGTCGCTGATTTGTTGGCTTTTGGCATCCAGAAACACCTGCCATGTCTTTCGAGAAGTCACCAAAACCCGCTCCCTACGCACAGGAGCCTCCCGCTGCGGAGCCGTTTGGTCACGCGTCGCCTGTGCGGCGCCCCGAAGGCTTTTTCGCGTCGAGCCGGGTCGAACCGAGAGCGCTGAAGGTCGGCCCTCGCGCCCTCCGTTCACCTCGGTGAGGTAAACGAAGATGTGAGGTGAACGGTCTGAAAAAAGCGTTTTGGAGTCCACATAGGAGGTTTCAGAGTGCCACTTCATCAGGAGAGAGGTCAAGGAAGATGGGGAAAGCCCAAGCATTTGGAGAGCCGTGGCGCATCAGATGCTCTCGTGGCGCATCAAAGGACTCCGGTCAAATCAAGAAACCATGGGCATCCGCCGGCGTTTTGCTCCTTTTACCGCCGCAAACCATCGGATGGTTTGGACGTCTGACTTCGCTCGGTGGCGGGTAGCGCGTGGCTCTCAGGTCAAGCTATGACTTCGCTCACCCGGGAGGACCACCGAGGCCGGAAGTTCTTGGTCAAACCTGGGGGTCAAACGGGTCGGTGCCACCCCATGAAGCTGTGAGATTCGGCCGCGTGCATGATGCGCATGCTTTTCACTTGAACAGGGGGCCCCCATGGTTTCAAACTTTCTCAAAGAATTAACATTTTTGTTAGGCCGTATCATTCTCTGAAAGGCCCCGAGGTCCTTTCCGACTTGGTGCAACATTGGTCGTGAGGCATCTCCGGGACTTCGTCAATCCACATCCGACGGCAGGCGATTTGTCTTTGATTGAATCGGCCTGGGACCTACACCCTTTAATTGACCAGGCCAATGTGCTGTAAAATTGTCAAGAAGAAAAATGGCAATCCTCAAGAGCTCAGTATGATGTAGCATGAGGGTCTTCGATATGTGAAGAGAGCCAGCCATGTTTCTGACGTGAAAGTGAAGAATGAGACAAGCTGTTCTCAAGCACATTTGTCTAAAGGCATTTGCTTGGTTTATATAATTGTCGATAAAAGTCGACTACCCATCAGACTGCCTAAGCTTGGTTTTTGTGATGTTTTGTTGCTTTCCAGTCCAGCTGCTTATTTGTTTCGAGAGCACTTGGCAGTTTTCAATCTCCGGCTTTCTCTCTGAGGGGGAGAGGTCGCATGGGTCGCAAGCCTTTGAGACGGGAAGGAGCAGAATCTTCCACCTTTTTGCCTTCGTGTTCTCTTCGGTGAAGAGATGTCCTTGCTGCAGAATTGGTCTGAGGATGTCTGAGGGAAAACACTTCCAACACAACCAGGGTGTCCTGGTAGATGTTTTTACCCACCCAATCCTGGGAGATGCCTTGTAGATTTTGCTGGCCCCTTCTGAAGGTGCAGTCTCAGTCTCTGTCCGAAGGGTCGGTCCCACAGAGCCCGTCCCGGCAGCTGCTGCAAGGACTCTCGGCAACTCCATCACGCGGGCTCTAGAGGCGGGCACTGGGACCCTCGAGGGTCCAGGAGGCCTCCAGGAGGGTCGCATGGTATGAGGGGTCCCAGGTCCGGCCCCACATGGTTTGTGTGGGACATTGGGGGTCTCCCTATTCTAGACATCCAGAATCAAAGAGTCTCTTTGTGTTTGCAGCGTCGTTTGACGCTGCGGTCGGACAGCTGACTTTCCTGTGGCAACTCGAGGAGTCGCATTCCGAGGAGGACGGGAGAACTGTCCGGGTGCGAACAACGGGAACTCGACTGACGTGGGAAGGAAGGCATGGTAAAGGAAAGAAGGCAGGAGAGAAAGCTATGGAGTCATGGCTTTTCACTCTCGTTTTCGCTCCTTCCTTACTCTTCTTGACGGCTCAAAGTGCATAGATAGGGACCCTGTACCCCTCATCAGCACACTGTGACCGCACACTGCGCCATGCTCACCTTTGTGGTTTTGGTGCTCTTTCTAGCGTCTTTGACGGGGCTGGGTGCCGAAGTGCTGAAGAGGCCATTGATGCGTTGGATTGAAGCTCAGCCCTGGAAGGGGCGCATGATCCCTCTCCAGAGGCAAACCATGCACAACTTTGGCTTCAGCAAGGCCTGTACCGCGGATGAACACCTAGTCGTGGACTCCTATGCCTTCTTGATCATGATTTGCTCCCACCACTGTGTGATGAGCATCTTCTTGGCCCCTGTGGTCTTTCTTGGTTGGGAGGGAGCGGGCTCGATTGGGCAGCTCTTCTTCTATCTTGGTGCTGTAGGAGATCTGGCGTTTTCCGTCTATGACTCGATCCAAATTGCTTTGAGGACCTTCGCCTCGAAAAGCACCAGCAAGTTCCTGGGAGCACGACTACCTGTGAAGTACTTTGTCTCCATGGTTTGCTTGCACCATTCACTCTCCATGCTCCTTACCCTGCCAATGATCATTCACTACCCTTCCATGAAAGCCTTGCATCTCATCATGTCCTCCTTGCTCTTCGCAGGTGGCACTTGCTACCTGCTGGGATGCTACAAGTTCACTCTGGACACCAAGAACTCAAGCGATTTCCTACGATATAAGGCTGTGGTGGTTGTTCAACTGCTGATCATCTGGTTGACCCGCGGATACATTTGGATCTCTCAAGCCTACGCAGCGATGAGGTTCTTTTACCAGCAGGGTGATGTGGTCTTCTTTTGTGGTGCGATGACAGGTGGCCTTTTGATGAGCCTCTTCAATCTGTTGATGTTGGTGGATGCCACCAAGGCCGCATTGAAATGGTTGCCGCGACCCCTCAAGCAGCACAAGACACGCGATGTGACCCATCTTAGCTGTGATGAATCCGTTCCATTGAAGCAAGGCCTTCACAAAAGGTTGCAGGGCTTGAACAGGGCCGCAGTGGCCCAGTGAGAATCACGAGGTGTTGAGGTGGGGTGCACAAGGTCGCTATGAATGCAGTGAATTCAGTTTGTGTGCATATGGCCAAGACATTGAAGTTGTTCGACAGCGTGGCTGTAGGGCTTCTTGTCACACCGCCACACTGCACAACACCTTTTTGATTTGATCTCGCGCCATCCTGGAAGCGATCGGGCTTTCTCGACACAAGACATGAAACTCGCACCAGAACCTACCGACGATTCGAGCAACTGCTCGCTCGCTGGGTGATTTGATTGCGCTCGCCAAGGGGCGACCGCAAAGTTGATTTGTCGTCCATGAATCAACCAATCCCCAGCGATGAATCCGCCAAACATGGCCCATCCTTTGTACAGATCCTGTTTGGCCCATCCGGCTTTGTACAGATCCTGAGTCCGCGCGCGATAGACGGGACGGGGGTTTTGAAAAAAAAGAAGGGAGAGACGCGAGAGATTTGCTGGTTTGTTGGAATTCTCACATGTTCTCCCATGTTTTGGCTACTGTGTAGGACTCACAAAGTGAGGTCTGCGACCCCAGCGCCTTTCTTCCTTCAAAGTCTTTGGGTCCAGCTGATCTGATGAGCTGATCAGCAACTCAGGCTGGCCCATTGAACCTCCCGGACGGCCGGATGCCCGGTGTGCAAACAGAAGAAAACTGAAGGGAACGAACATCAGAAACAGCTGTGCGCCGTGCAAAGCTTCAGCAGAGCTGTGCCGTGCCCTGTCGAGGTTCAGGCTTCGCGCAACAGAAGATTCCTCACATTCAAGTGGAATGGAATGCTTGTAAGGCCGGAGGAGTTGTAAGTTCGCAGTGACTTTGCCCCAGATCCAGCAGATGGATGCTGAACCAGCTGAAGTCCGTGTCGTATACCTCCTCATACACCATAATACGGATTCCAACAACTTCCAATGCCACCACAACCCATCTGAACATATCCAAACAAAAACTCCTTGGCGTACACGTGGTGTGAGCACCACTTGTAACAGCTGTTGTGAGAGAGAACAAGGCAGCAATAGGCAGCTGATTTGACACAGATCATTCGAATTTCCCGTTTGCCTGATTTTTTCAGAGCATGGCGAGTGTCTCACAGTTCTAAGGCACACTCCTTCTACGCTCTCTGTGTCAAAGGTCCTTCACCGGCAAAAACAAGGTCTTTGGACAGATGCCCAGCACTTCCTGGTAATCTATTTCCCCAGCTCTTTCAGGGCAGACACCGCTCCTCCCAATACGACCCTGCTCTCTCGCCAGAACGACCCATCGGCCGCGACCCAGACCCCGCTCGGTTCCCGGCACCGGGTGCGGACCCCGGTCGTCCAGGTGATCAGCGCGGCCGGCGGTGTGGGAGTAATGCTTTTCGCCTTGAGCATGCTGCTGAGCCAGCTGGGGCAGCAGGCCGTGGAGGCGGGTGATGGCGAGTGGAGGGGGGAGGGGGATGAAGTGAAATGGGAGAGGAAGATGGAGCAGTTCCAAAGCCAGGGGACCCTTGGCGGGCAATAGGGACCGGCAAAACCACCGATTCGTCGCCAAGGGTTTTGCTCCGCAAGGATTGAAGCGACCTACCAACACCATCGTCATCTACTTTGGACCTTTCTTTTTCAACGGCACACGAACAGAACATAGATTGCTTTTTGTCTTACCTGTAACAGTGGGTAAACAAGAACATCAGACAAACATCACTATTTTAGAGATGTCGGCCTAGACAAACTGAACCATTGCCACCATCATCCACTGGGTCGTTTTCGGCAGTGAGGTAGTGATCATAGACCCAATATATATATATATACATATATAGCCGCTGGGTTCAAAGGCCCTAAAGCTCGGGCCATCGGGGGTCCAGGGCCGGCAGGGTGTGCGGACACCGACCGGCGTCGAGAAGAGGTGTTCCGCTACACCTTCCCGGTGCATTCGTGACTCGCTGTTCACGTGCCCCTGGAGGGAGTGCTGACCTTTGCTGACCAGGTTCTGCAAGGGTCTACTCGACTGCAGTTCAGGTCGTTGCTCCAGGACCTAGGAGCGGAGTCCTTCCCGCTCACGGTACGGGGAAGGGCCTACATCGTTGGTGAAGTACTCCACTGCCAAGGAAATGAGATTGGCCTCAAACCTTTGGCCTTCGCTCCGGGCAAGGGTTTCCATGAATCGGATTCAACCCGTGAACTGGTGACGATTTCGATTCCGATGTTGGCCTCACGATCCATTCCCATTCGCCCGGGGGTCAGATTGTATGCTGTGGATCTGTAATCTCATCAGCCAAGCTGCATGTGTACGACTTTGCATCCTCGGCCTCGATTCATTTCAGGCCGGAGCTGGATTGTACTTTTGGGTGGGAGTGCACGCATTTATTTTGTGGATCTTTCTGTGGGTGGAGCCAGGCAGTAGAATGGCTGCCGAATGCTGGATTTGGATTTGCCATTGGGCGACAGGTTTTCATTGACCATGATGAGACGACCCTTCAGCTTTGCTGTGCCCAACACAAAATGGATCTTGTGCGCTGCCCCCTCAAGACCTCAGAGCCATGGAATCCTGCTGGAAAGATTGGCCTGTTGGGGGATGTTTCGGATGTGACGATCCCGTATGTACACCGATGTCAAGTCAACTTACTCTGCACCCTTTCGCCACCGTGCCAGTCGTGGTCCAAGGGCGGCCGATCATGTGGGTTAATGGATGACAATGGGTGGGCCTTCGTCGCTGGCCTTGAGCAGGTCTTTACACTGCAACCAGTCCTTGCTTGTGCAGAATGCGTTGATGAGCTTGCCTCTCACGCTCATTTCAAGCTTGTACAGTGCATAACATCCATGTTTGGGTATAAAACCCTTTGGTCGCAGATCGTCCCTTACCATGAGCTTGCCGACCACTGTAGGACTCGATGGTTGTGCGTGTGGATCCGTGCCGATATTGCAGCGGAGCCCCTTGGCTTCAGTTTGCCTTGCTCCATTGTGCCGAGGGTCTCATGGAGTGCTGAGTGTTATCACTTCCACCTTCCAAAGGTGTGGCGAGACCAGGTCCGTTTGAGCACCTCGGAAGCTGAGATCTACAATGATCCCCAATTGCTCCCGCCTGCAAAGAGAGCAAAGATCGCATCTTCAGTGCGAGTTGATGCTGGCCTGCATGGTCGATTGGCCAACCCACATGAACCGCTTCCGACGCTGTGCGCTTCGTACACGGTCCAACATGTTCTCTCGGCAGACCATCTTCGGTCTAAAGGCATTTTCGCTGTGCTCAAGCATCAAGAAGGTTCATATTGCTTCTTTGACCCAGCGCACTTTTGCAGTTTGTTTGGAGCTACATCCGAACTTCTCCTGCCAAGCAAGCTTTCGTTAGCTTTTAAGGGTGTAGGGAATGCAATCACTGTTCCTCACAGTGTCCTTTGCTTGTCGGTCGGACTTTATGCTGTTTTGCCAGAGCACATTGATCCTGTCTCCATCATGAGGGATGCATGGGAACACCGCATGACAGCCCACACGGCTGTTCTTTTCGAGCAAGGTCCTTTCGTCCGTCTCATGCCAGTTGACCTCGCACGTCAGCTCCTGGCTCCTAAGGTCATCAGTCCCGGACAAGGAGAATGGCGACTTCTCTTTGCCTTCCGAAGCGGCCTTGATGATTTTGAGATGCGGGTGACTTCAGCGACCACCTTTGTTGAAGCCCTCACCAATGCCATTGCAGGGCCGCATGGCCTGCTACTGCAGCTTGGTTTGCACTCTGAGCATCGTGTCGGTGACATTCACATGAGCATCCGAGAGCTTGCTGCCATCGCTGATGACTGGAACCTTCATTTTGGGAAAGTATGCATTGCCAGATGCAGTCTCCTTCTTCAACCCCTTCGTTGCTCTTTGGCACCGAGTGCTCCTCATGCAGCCCTTTCCGCCACGGCGCCTGCACAAGATCTGACCTGCAGCGTCGTTGAACTGCCTTTGCCGGGTTCGCTGGATTCCTTTGGGGAAGCTGAGACCTTTGCGCACATCCTCGACATTCTTCGGCCCATCGACTTTGTCAAGGGACCGCACTGGTTCAAGGTTTTCATTGTCCATCGTTGGTTGCCTGGAGCTCTACGCATTGGCTGTGATCAAGCCAACTATGATGCACTTTTTGCTGCCCTCAGACTCTTGGTCCTACCGAATGAGCGGCTCTCAATGACTTTGGCCTTTGACTTTGTCAATGGAGTGAGTGAGTGTGCCTTTTCGTGTCCTCCACATCTATGCCGTGCATGACTCCGCGGACACGGTTGCGGTGACAGTTCGTGTCCCTGTGGACGAGCAGATGCTTCACGCAGTTGTGAGTCCTACCAGTGGCTCACTACCCATCTTTTCGTTTCGGCAGTCTCTCTACCATGTCCAGCAGATCAATGGCATCCCGAGTGACCAGCACGTGGGCCTGCTACAGCAAGGATCTTTCCTGTCCCTCCAGCGAAGTCATGACATTAGAGCAGGTGGGCATCGCCTCTCTTCCGGTGCCACTCCGACTTTGCGTGCAGGATCTGATTTCCAGGCTCGCGCTGAGTACATGTGCAATACACATGGTTGGATTGCAGCTGACGAACTCTGGAGCATCACGCAGAATCTGATGTTCACGCAAGACCAATACAAGTTCACTGCCCCGGTGTACTGGAATCAGGCTGACTTGGACTTCACCTTGTCACCTTTTGGAGAGCTCTACTTGTTCAACAACACCACCAATGTTATCTGTGTCCTCATTGATGATCATTGGGCTGCGATTGAAATTCGCAGGAATGCAGATGCTGCCCATCTCCACTTTGTGCAGCTCCCTCAGCATCTTCACACTGCGGCTACATTCGTTGTTGCCCGCCTATTGGACATTGCTCCGCATCGGCTGACTGCCTCCAGTGAGCACGAAGCACACTTGCCTCACCTCTGTGGTTGGCGCTTGATCCAGCGATGGGTGCAACATTTTGATCTTGCCAGTGACTTCCAGCCCGAAACCTTTGCTGGTGTTGCCGACAGATTTCATGACATCATTACGATGACTATGGAGTGTGCCTTGGAAGATTGGAGAACCTACAATGCTCCGCAACCATTGATCCAGCTTGCTGCATTGCTCCGTAAGAAGTTTCTCATCTACCTTGCGCGCAGGGAGTCTCAGCAGAACCCCCTTCCTCAGAAGGAACTTGTTGCTGCTTTTCCGGTGCGATTGCAACCATTGACGTCCACTTTGCCTACTCTGCCACCGACACCTGAGGAAACTGCCACCGATCGGATTTCAGCTCGACTCGACCATATGCTCACCTATAGTGGATGGATGGCTTCCGACGAGATGGATTTCTCCCTTGATGTCGTTCGCATTATCCAGCCTGGAACCTTGTTCTGCGCACCAGCGGTCTGGAACTTGACCACTCGAGACCTGGAGTTCCCCAATGGATTGTTCCCAGAGTATGGATTGTATGACCACATCATCTGGCTCGTCATTCACAACAACCACTGGTTGCAGTTTGAATGCTACCGACGTGGCTCTGATTCCATCTTCATTGCTTCAGTGCCGGTACATCAGAGAGGCATCTATGTCCGCCTGGTTCAGCTGCTGTTGCGCCAGTGTGGCTTGGATCATCAGAGCATCGCCATCGACTTTGTGGACCAGACGATGCCGCGCGATCTCTGTGGTTACTATCTGCTGGCAAATATGTTTTACAGGCTTGGACTTCAAGCGCCGCCTCCTCTTGACCTTCATGACCATCTGCTCACCCAAGGGGTTCATGCTCAGCTTATTGCCAGAGTTCGCAGAGAAGCTAGGAACACCTGGATTCGAGCTGAAGGCCTTCCGGATTTTGCAATCTTTGCAGCAAACATTCGTGACTGGTTTCTGCTCCGTGTGAAATCCAACAGATTCCCTGACGTATATTACGCTGCTGGCACAGTTCAGGACATGCAAGTCGATGCTGCATTGCCGAAATCAACTTCTGCCTCAGCAGCTCCTGGCTCCACGGCAGCTCCGAGCACATCACCAAAAGCCGTCGATCATGTCTGGGTCAATGACCCGTGGGGAAGGAAACCTCCCCGACCGGCTCAGTGCAAGTGGGAGGACTTGCGCATCCAACCTGAGGCTCCCTTTTTGGGCTCCGATGGTTCAGCACTACAGCAGACTCACAGACTACAACTCGGGCCCAACAGGGGGGGCATCGTCCTCTTGACCAAGTCCTTTCTCTCAGAAGCGATGAAACAAATTGGCACGCAGGACTTGGCAGTTTTGTTGCCTGTCACTGACAACATGCACCTTCCACATCTTGCTGCCAAGATTGAAGGCCCCTACGAAGTTGCCATGTACGATGAAGCTGCCAAATTGTCTTATAAACGCCTCACTCAGCTCATTGTGCTTCATGGCAAGTGCACCTACAAACTGCCCGAGCCTAAGTGCAAAATCACTACGCAAGCAATGTGTGAGCTAGTCTTGGAGGT